TCAGGTTAAACGAGTTTTCTTCATGTGACCCAATTCTGGGTGCTCCGCTGAGGCCCCAGCACTGTGGGAGCAATTCAGACTTCGAGTCCCAGGAGCCACAGGTGGTATAGGCTTTGGCCTTTGACAGTGCCATCCCTGCCTGAGGCTCTGCCTGGACCTGAGGGCGCTGGGACCTCCGGGTGGGAAGACCACAGGGTGGGGCTGAGGGGTGGCTGGGGCACCGGTAGCCTGACCTCCCACACAATGCAGCGGACTTGAAGGCATCCTCCTCCGTAAGCTCCCAGGCCTTGCTGTCTTCCTGGTCCCAAGGCTTGTGTCCGGTTCCCCCAAGGTTCTTGGGCTTGCCCTCGTGGAGAAGGGACTTCTTTCTTGGGCCGCTGGTTTGCTCTTCGAGTTTGTCCTGAGAGGATGGTGGCCATGGGACTGCAGCCCTAGGAAGCGGCCACAGATGCCCGTGTGACTCCTCCTGCTCCTCCTGATTTGGCTGAAACATCTGTCCTTGTGCCGACTGGAAAGAAGCAGGAGACTCAGGGCTGGGTGGGGGGACAGAGGCCGGACCTGGCCTGCCTTCCTCACCCCTTCCCTCTCCACCTGGCCCAGGCCAGGGACACAGTGTTCCTCACAATACCCTGGACTCGCCTTCCTCCTGACCCATCTGCACCTTGCAATTAATCCCTGCTGGCGCAGCTCAACTGACTGTCTGCAGCTCCCTTTTGCCCATGTTAATACCTAAACTCCTTAGCCTGGCATTTAAGGGCTTCCTCTCCTTCACCATGTCTCCCCTTTAAAACCCCTCACTCCAGGCAATCCGAACTACTAGTCCCCGGGTAGGATGAGGCCCAGGAGTGGCTCTGAGTAAGCTAAGGACTTGTGGTTCCAACTGGGGACCAGCATCCACAGGGAGAGAAGTCTGGCTTGCTGGGAGCCCAAGGCCTTTACTCCGCAAGAGCAGGCCCCCCCTACCCCACAGTGTGGCCTGCCCTTGCCTGTGTCCAAATTCTCCCCGTGCTTCACAGCCCAGCTCCAGGTCCAGCTGGGTGGGTCTCTGTTCTGTGTTCTGTCCCTTTTCCAGACATCTGGTACTTTGTACCTTGTATTTAGAGCCTGAGCCTTGGGTTTGAGCTCCCTTACTAAACTGTGATCCTTGGCAAGTTCTACGCATCATTATTGTCTGTGATCCATCTTCCCCCATCCAACCTTAGGCTGCTGGAGTATAGACCATATAAAACTCAAAGGTGACCCCCAGAAATGCTTCTGACCTAAGCAAGCCTCCAACCTTCACTTGATCACTTTTTCAAACCTTCCTCACACCATCTAGGGGCTCTAGCTAAATCTAATTACAGCGTAATAAGATATTCAGTTTTTAAAAGAGAATAATGCTTAGTAGTAGAGAATTCTCAAGGACAGAACAGTGCTTAACACTGCAGAAGGGAACCCTGAAACACACCAGCCCTCTCCAAGTCCTCTCCACTGTCTCATCCTGGGCAGACGGATTCTGACCAAAGCAGGGAAATAGGAACCACGTGGAAGAAAGTTTGGCTGCTGTGGGTGACCCGAGGCCTGTACTGTGCGCACAGAGCCTACCCAGAAGATACCAGTGATGACCCCGCCTCCCACTGGGACATGCTTGCTGCCCCTCCCCATCCGGAGACGTCCTCTTCCACTCCCCATCCATGCACCTAGCTTATCAGAAAACAATTCTGGACCAGAGTCATGGAACCAGGCCCTGACATCCCAGCTGTATCACTACCACTGACTGCCCTTAAATAACTCCCTTCTCTTTCTGGTCCCCAGTGTCCAACTCTGGACATGGGGGGCTTAGGCTGGAGGTACCTAAAAACTTACAGCTTTAGGAGTTACTAAGCAGCACAAGGTAAGTAAGAGTTAAGGATGCGGAGGTGGAACGAGACTCACCTGGTGTATATATGCCACTTGCTAGCTATGGGACCTTGGGCTGGACAACCTACTTACCCTCTCTAAATTTGGACTTAGTCATCTGAAAACTGGAGATAACCAACCAGGGTCATTGGGAGGAAACAAAAATAATACATATAAAGAGCTTAAAGTACCTAGTAGAGTACCCAGCACTCAGTACCCAGCATGTATGAGCTAGTGCTATTCTGTTCTTAGGGCCTCACACTTGGGGCCTTCTAGCCACCACAGTGGTTCTCTAGCACTGCCCACTTGATGTTGAAGGTGAAGCCTAAAAAGAAGGGTCGGTGAGACTGGGCAAAAGCGGCTGTGCAGGGGGGATATGGTTCTAGCTCATTCCAGTGCATGTCCCTCTCCATCGGGGGCAGGTCCTGGTGCATCTCGTTCACAGCCAACAGGGACACCTGGTTGCCGGGGACAGAGGGAGAAGTCCAACAGGAAGGCCAGTGTGAGCAGGGCCACGGGCTTGTCAGATGACTTCAAGAGGTCACTGCCTTCTCTCTGGGCCTGTTTACGTACTTGTGAAATGGAGAGACCAGTGCCTGCTGGTAGTCTCAAAACTTGGGGTGAGAATCCTGTAAGTGAATGGTTGGCTGGGGGTGGGGGAGAATTCACAGTGCAGTCTCCCTACAGAACTGTAGGTCCCCTTCCTGGGTTCAGTTTGGGGAGGATCCATGGGTCAGGCTCTCTCCCCCGATACCTGCAAGCTCCTGTCAATCCAGTTAATCTCAAAGTCAGCATCATCCTCTCCAAATGGGTTGATGAGCTGCTCTGCCACCTTGGGGACTGGTGCAGCTCTGGGAATCCTGCTAGAACCTGCAGCCTTTCTTCCCACCCTTAAACCTTGGCTCCTGCCATCTGCACACCCACCGTGCTGCCCTTCCTGCCTGACCACTATCTCCAAAGCCGTGGTGTAAGGGCTCCAGCCACCCACCTGCTCACAGACCCCTTCCCTTCTGGACACGGAGCCCAAGCCCCTCTGACTCTCTTGAACCAGCCCTTCCTTGAATACCCAGAGCTGTCCTAGAGCGTGTCACTCAGCCGAGTCACCACTTTTGCCTCTCTTCCCTGGATCTTCCATGGAGTTGCCTAATTTGATGCATTTGTTCATTTACTCATTCATGTCTTCAAACATCACTAGTTCCTTCCTTTCTAATGTGACAGATGTGCTGAGGCTGCGCTAAAGTAAAGGAGGGCCCGGGTGGACAAATGCCTGTATAGTAACCTCTGAAGTCCCCTAACAAAGCCCCACAGTGGCTTGAGCTGCCCTAAGAGTTCGAGGGACATCCTGCAGTCACTGGGGCACCACTGGAGAATTTCAAGCAGAAAAATGGTGTGATCTGTGGAAACCAAGGATGACTGGGGGAGGCTGTGGCCTGAATAGCCGTGTGTGTGTGTGTGTGTGTGTGTGCATGTGTGTAGCATAGACAGGAGGGGCAGAGGGGAGACCCACCACTGCCAATGCCACAAAACAAAAGAAAGGAAGAGATGGAGAGTAGGTGAGAAATGGAAGGAAAGAAAAAGACAGGAGAGGAAACTATTATTCAGAACTCCTAGGCGGAGGAGTACTGGATCCAGTGGGAAGGAATACTTGGATAAACCACTTGGGGTGGAGATGAGACCCCCTGTCCCCCACCCCGTCACACCACCCCGCAACAGACATCTCAAGTAAGGGGAGGTGGTGCTACCACGCCTTCTAAAGGGTGGGGCCCGGGGGTGGTTAACTTCAGGACTTCTGTTTTACCAAGCAGAGGGACAATGTGGGAAAAGAGCCTAATTCTGGGGACAGTGAGAAGTTGCCTCACCAGCAGGGCCTGCCACTGCCATTCATATCCCATGCATTCCTTGTTCCTCCAGAACATTCTCTGGAGGAGGCATCAAATGGTTTGATGACAGCTTTCCCCATGTCTCTGCTGCCTGTTCAGTTCCAGGTCTCAGGTGAGGCACTGAGATCAGACACAGGCCTCAAGCAGGTCCCGCTCCCCTTTGGGTCTCAGCTTCTTCAAATATAAGGACACGGGGAAAAAGTGGACCAGAAGGTCGTGGTTGGGGTCCAGCACCACACTTTCCACGTCTGAGACTCTCCTTTCCTGACTGGCTAGGACCCCGCCAGCCTCGCCACAGCCCAGCCTTGTTCCAAAGAGTTACACCTTCAGCCAGCATAGAACTGCAGGACCGTGAAGGCAGGTAGCGCAAGGTCTAGCTCACGGCCAGGGTAGGCCTTGGCTGCATCCAGGAACTGCCACCCGATCAGGCGCGGAAAGGAAATGTACACCACCATGCTCACCAGCTGGGAGCGAAAGGAGGAAGCAGCAGGAATGGGCTGGGTGCTCCTGAGGATGGGAGGAGGAGGCCTTGCTTTGATTTGCACACCCATGTGACTGTGATCTCTTCTCTAAAACGGGGATAATCACTCTGCTTCCACTGGGCTAGACCAGGCAACAGCTCTGGACTCTTCGAACTTGGCACCAAAAAGAACCTGTGAAGTCCAGACCTGACTCCCAGTCTAAGCCTCTTAGCTTCCCAGTGAGCCCTTCCCATGACAGACTGCTTCCTGGATCCTCCTAGCCTCAGTTTCCCAATGGGGAAGCTTCACCCACCTAGTCCTCACTTGCATGTACACTGGTGGGACACTGATCCAGTGGTAGGCATACAACTGTCCACACTGAGTATGCAAGGTGTTCATCTCCTGGGGGGCAGAAGGGAGGGTTGGGGTTCTGATTGCCATCTGCTCTGCCAGGCTCACCCCCCAGCTCTTCCCCAGGTACCAAGGTCTGGTGCTCATGGTCCAGCCCTGGCTGTGTGGTCATGGGAAGCTCACTAACTTCTCTGTGCCTCAGCCTCTTCATCTATCAAAAAGGAACCAAGATCTCAGAGGCTCACTTTAGGAGAGGATGGGAGGAGGATTTGGGAAAGGGACAACCTTTGGCTGTGGAATTTGCTGAAAAGACCCTAACAATCCCTGGGCAGGCTGTAGGAAGACCCTCAGAGGTTCAAGCCTCTTGGTAGGCAGCCTTGTTCCACCTGGGGCACAGCACACCCCCAGCCTGCAGCAGCCGCACCTGTGCAGTGGACTCATGTCTGGCAGGCTCTGGAGCAGGACCGAGTCCCGGACTTGACCTCCAATTCATGCTTTCAGTGGCAGGTTGGCAAACTACATCCAAGGCACCCAGAACATGTTGGGTGGCAAGCTGAACTTTTCTAAGTGATAGAGTTAAAAGCCTGCAGGGTACAGCCAAGAAGCAAATGGGAGGGGGTACCTTGCAGAAGGGGTGGCTGGCCGAGGTAGCCAGAGCCGGCCCTGCCGGGGTCTAGGGTTCAGGCCCAATTCCACAGGGATCTCGGAGACCCTTCGCCGCCCTCTTTCTTTCAACAAATAATTATTGAGTACCTATAATGTGCTGTTCTGGGCTCGGCACGTGAGAGGGGTCTGTCTGATCATCAGGACCAGGTCAGGCAAGGCCGAGGGAAGGCGAGAAACTGAAGTCCTAGACGTGCAGACTGGAAACGGGGAGGGCACAGGGAAGTAGACCCGACTTTCTCACCAGTACCCAAGGCCCCGCTCTCAGATTGGGCTGTTCCCTCTTCCCTCAAGGGTCTTTAACGTTCTCCAAGGGTCGGCTCCTGGCCTCGCCCCACTCTCAGGCCCCTGACTTCGCCCAGCCCGATTCCACCCCGGGGTTTCGATTCTGTTCTGCTCCTGGTGCCCCCAGCCCCAGTCCAGGGGCCTCTGGCTGCACCCATCTCTGGCTCCGCCCCCGACCTCGGCAGCGCCCCGGCAGCCCACAGGCTTTCACCTTTCACCGAATGCTGGGAACTGGGAAAGCGCTTGGCGCCAGCGGCGCCGGCCCTGCTGTGCAGAATGCGTCCTGTGCCAGGTTGGCGTAGTCTGGGAGCGTGCTCCGCACACAAAACCGGGCTCGTCCTGTCCTCTATGAGGCTCGACGCCAAGTTCGTGAGGCCGTCGGGCCAGGGCAGGTGCTCGGACAGGTTCCACCAGCAGGAGGGGCGGGGAGCTAGGGGCCGAGGGCCCAGGCTGCGGCCAGGAACCAGCGAGGGCTATGCCTCGATTTCTCCAACTTTCTAATGGGGGCAGGCCCAGCCCCAACCCTTCTGGCGGATGTCCAGGAGGGAAAGACCGTAAGAGACCCGCATGAGGGCCCAAGGGTCTTAAGTTCTTCCTCTGGGGCCCTTCTGTCTGTCCCAGAAATCCGCCAGACCCCTCCCCTCCTGCGCAGAGGCTCCAGGGACTATAACGTCCGCGCAGCCCTCATAAAGTGGGTCTTGAGTGCGAACAGCAGGTCGTCCTTCCCAGTGTCTGACAAGTCCGCCTGGCTGCAGCCTCCCCATTTCCCTGAACTACCGAGAGGCACTGACATGCCACTGGCCTTCCCCAGCTTGCTCCGGGGGTCCGCCAGTCTGGAGCCTGGAGCCCCCAGACCGACACGCGGAAGGGGGCGCTCGCCCAGCAGGAAGGAAATGGGAATGGGCTGGGGGTAGCTGTTGCAATGCAGTCAGCTGCTCGAACATCACGTGCTGCTCATCAGTAAGAGCCATCCTGCGGTGGGGCTGAGAAGGTGGAGATGTGCAGACACTGGGAGGCCATGTCGAGACGGGTCCCGGGGCCAGTCAGGCCCACAGTCGGGGTGTGGCTGCCTCTGTGCTGCCCCACCCCCACCCTGTCCCTTTCCCTGGAGGGGCCTGAGGTCCCTCCTCTGTTCTGAGCCGCATCCCACTCCTCTTCTGGCAGCCCCGAAACCCAACGAGGCCTCTGCTCCACGGCTGGAGGAAGCTCTCTAGGGAGGTTTTCCATGAGGTTGTAGAAAAGGGGGTCCTATTGAACAAGTCAGTTGTTGGCACTGTTGACTTTTAAAAAAATTTTTTATTAAGGTATGGTTGATATACACTCTTATGAAGGTTTCACATGAAAAAACAATGTGGCTACTATATTTACCCATACTATCAAGTCCCCACCCATACCCCAATGCAGCCACTGTCCCTCAGTGCAGCAAGATACCACAGATCTACTATGTGCCTTCTCTGTGCTACACTGTCTTCCCCGTGACCCCCACACCATGTGTACTGAACATAATACCCCTCAGTCCCCTTCTCCCTCCCTCCCCACCAGGGCACTATAGACCTTTTTAAAGGACCCAAAGGACAGTTTGAAGGCAGGATGAAACGGAGTATTCGGTCTTTAGACATGTATGGTAGGGAGGGCTGACTAGGCAGAGCCCAAAGGGTTTTGAGGGCGGTGACACAAAGACAGGCCATGGGGATGCCTGTCTTTACACATTTGCCCAAACCCATGGAATATACACCCCCAAGGGTAGACCCTAATGTGAACTATGGACTTTGACAATGGTGTGTCCACATGGGGTCATCTGTTACAACAAAGATACCACTGCTGTGGGGTGTTCATAGTGGGAGAGGCTGTGTATGGGTGGGTACAAGGCTATAGGGGAATTCTGTACCTTCTGCTCAGTTTTACTGTGAACCTAAAACTGCTCTAAAAATAAAGTATAGTTTGTTTTTCTGTCTGTTTAAGTATATCGGTGCACTAGTAACAACCAAAGGGAATCAATGTGCTTTGTTATTAGGACGATCATTATGAACTCAAGAATCATATGTATTTGACATTGCTTAATCCATTGCAGTCATTAAAGCTTTTTCCATTTAAAATCCTATTCGTATTTTCTGTGATTGTATCTGTCCTATATTTTACTATTTAAATCAACATTTTTATTGGGGAATAAAAAGTATGGTCTGTGCCTGTGAGCCTGTGGGATTCCAGAAAATGGGCTGGCTGAGAGGGACCAGGGAAGGCCTGGGTTCCAGGGCCGCTGCCTGGGTTGGAGGAAAGGGGGTCTGAGACACCCCCAACCTGCTTTGAGCTGTGCTCCCTCCCAGTCTGCCTCCTCCTGTCTCTCCCCCCAGCTCCCAGCCCCCAGGGCTTGGCCACAAGCGCAGCTCAGCTTGTTGTCTCTGATGCATGGGCCCCTGGATGGCTGGGAGGCCCCCTAGTTGCTCCAGCACCCAGCTGCACCCCTCTTGGGCCCTGGCCGCAGCCCGCCTCCTGTACTTGTAAATGAAGTGGAAGGTGTAGCATGAGCAGGAAGCTGCACAGAGCAGCAGCTTGTAGATGCCGCCTCCCAGCACGGCAGCACACAGGCAGAGCAGCCTAAGCAGGCGTTAGCCACTGGCTTGAGTAGGTGATGGTCATGGCCAGCCACTGGGTTGCCGCTGGTGGGCTTGGGTTCTGGCAGCAGAGAGGGACACTGAAGGGGGACCAGGAGGGGCAGGGGCCTGGTCAGAGCTCGTCCCGGCCTCATGAGTGACCTTAGTCAGGACTCTTCCCTGCTCTGGGCCTTAAGCTCTCCCTTCGGGACATGGGAGGGAGGTGAAGTGGCCTCAAAGGCCACTCTGACTCTGCCTGCCTGAGGAAGGTGGGGAACCAGGGAAATAAGCCCAGAGGCTGCCCACAGCCTTGGAAGGGAAGACACAGGTAGGTCTGTGCCCTTAATTGTATGACAAAGGCCGGGAGAACAGCAATGTCCACACGCTGGACTCTGTCCTCAGAGCCAGAAAGTGTCCTGAGCCATCTTGTTCATTAGCTCCCCAGACTCCCTCAACCACCCTGGGGCAAGAATTAGTAAGAGGCCTGGTCAGTCTTGTCCACGGTCCTGTCCCCGAGGCCCAGAACAGAGCTGTCAAATACTGTTTACTGACTCCCTGTCCTCCTGCCTGAAAAATGCCCCTCCTGATCTAACTACGTGGCTCGCTCCCACTTCAGGTCACCTCCTCGGAAAGGATATCCCCCCGCCCTACCTGGAAATAGCATCCCAGAGCCACTGGCGCACTTTGCTTACCTTGCTCGATTTTTATGCATAGACAGCATTTGTTATGTTACACTTGCAATTACCTTTTGCAGGACCTCTGCTTGTTTTCCCCCTCATCCCCTCCGAGAGTGGCAGCTCCCACTGTGTTCTCACAGGAGGTGCTCAGTGAGAACAGTGATGAAAGCCTGACGCCCACCCTCCCCCCACTTGCTCAGAAGCAGCCGCAGCGGCCGTCTCTCTGTGCCTGGTGTGTACCAAGCTCATTCCTACCTCAGAGCCTTTGCACAGACGCACAGGGGCCCACACACCTGCCACACATACCGCCTGTGTGTAACATCACCTCTCAGACACTTAGGCAGGGACACTCATGCACCCTAAAGGCCCCAAAACCCCAGCCCGGCCATTGGGGCAACCCCTACTCACAGTGGGGCTTCAGGCTGGCCAGGTGATCCCGCAACATGTCTGGCCACTGGAGTGGTGGGCCTCTCTGGGGTCCTGTGGCCAGTGTCCCTGCCCATGCTTAGGGGCCGGCTCTGCCATGTGTGTGCTGAACAGTCACGTGACTCCCTAAGCCTGGGCCTCCACAAAGGAGCCCTTGTCTTGGCCCTCCTCTTAATCTGCCCATAAGGAGCGGCCCAGCACAGTGTGGCCGGGCCCCTCTCCTTCCTTCCTGGGGGGCATGAGGCCAAGACCAGGACCGGAGCTGGGGGCATACCCCCTCTATCACAGGCCCTGCCAATTCTGCCCTTTTAGGTCTGGGCCCTAAAATTCAGAGATTGAGGGATCTGTTTCTGGTCCCTGAGGTCTTTCCAGGAAGCTGTTGTGACTGGGGCCCTGGGCCTCTCTCCCGTGCTAGAAACTATCTAGAGATCGGGGGACCTCTGCCCAGACCATGTGGGGCACTGACAGCACTGTGGGCCGTAGAAACCCTGGACTTCAGTTGGAAGTCCTGGCAATGTCACCTGTGTGTGGTGACCCTGGGTGGGCCTCTAATCTTCTCCAGGCCTCAGTGTCCCTATCTGAAAACATAGCTTTGCTTTAGAATTCTATCCCCTGGGGAAGGGTGAGAGAATTCTGCACATCCTGGTGAGGAGATCTGATTGGCTGCCAGTGACATCATAGGCTACTGGAGCCATTATTGGCTAGCAGTATCGAGTTAGTGCTATGAAAGAAGGGGGGCAGGGGGCTGCTGTGGGGGTGCTGGGCTTGGTGCTGGATGACACAGCAGCCCTGGTATTTATGCTGCTGGCTCACAGCCAGCCCATGCAAAAGGGGAGTATGACCCAGGTGCCCAAGGGCAGCCGATTAATATCTTAGCAGGTGGTTCCATACATTTTAATACATCAGTCCATTCATGAGAGCCCTCCTAAGCCACTGAAAGTGATGGGTATCTAGGACATGCTCCTCTTGTGCTAAATGAAAGCTCAGAGCAGCAATGGCTCTTGGTCTTCAATGGCCAAAAGAATGGCCTGGAAACTTGCTGCACTGATGGACAGTGACTGCATTGGGGTATGAGTGGGGACTTGATAATATGGGAAAATGTAGTAACCACATTGTTTTTTCATGTGAAACCTTCACAAGAGTGTATATCAATCATACCTTAATAATAATAAAAAAAAGAATGGCCTGGATACTACACTGATGGACAGTGACTACAATGGGGTGTGTGGGGGGGGACTTGATAATATGGGTAAATGGAGTAACCACAGTGTTGGTCATGTGAAACCTTCATAAGAGTGTATATCAATGATACCTTAATAATAATGATAATAAAGAATGGCCTGGAAGATTTATTAAACATGCAGCTTCTCAGGATCTTTCTCCAGAGTCTGATTCTGCAGTCTGCAGGGTACTGCATTTCTAAAGAGCTCTGAGGGGATTCTGAGGGCAGTAGCCTTCAGAGGCCCTGATTTACACTGTGACCCAGCCTTAAAATACATGCCCCGCCTCCCCCTTCTCTCCCCCTGCTTCTCTCTCCGATGACATACTCCTAAGTGTTAATGATGCTAGATTGCCAGTGATTTTTGTGTACAACACTTTTGCCTTTATAATTCTTTGTCCTGAAGAAAAACAATTATTCCACAACGACCTCAGATACTTTCTAATCACAGCAAACAGTAATGCCTTTGCTGTTATGAGGGTGGCTTATCAGAGATCAGGGACCTTTTAGGAGTATCTGCTGCATTCCTGCTGCCTGTGCTGTGATGGGACAGGTTTTCCAGCGCTGTCCTTAACTCACTTAGGGAGAGGGTTCATCTGAGTCTCAGTCTCCTTATCTGCAAAATGGGGCAATAACATCTACCTCAGTGGTGAGAATGAAGGATGGGAAATGTTTTAGCTCCCTCTCCGAACCAGTGGCTCTCTTGGAAGCCTGTTAACTTCCTGGGGAAAGTCTACAAGCCCCTGGTGCCTCTGTCCCCACCCCTCTGGATTCAATCGGGTTAATAGACAGTGTGGGTTGAGAATCACTAATAAGGGGATATTTCCCTACTTGGTATCCCCTCCCCCCATACACATATCAACACTCGAGAGAGATTTTTCCACTTAGCAGATGGTTAATATATTTTTAATTAAAATTGAACATGTGCCTGGCTCCATGCCTGGCTCAGAGATGCCCATTCTGCAGAAGTTGAAGAAATAAATTGAAAACCCGCCTTTTTGTGGGGTCAGATTCCTGCCTACCCCATGGTGGCCACTAGAGGGCGCCCTTGAATAGCTGGCCCTGGATTATCAGAACCCGTGTGGACCTTGGAGCTGGCCCTGGATGGTTCCTCCTTCTCCTTGACCCTAACCAGCAGCTATGGAGCTACAGGAAGACAATGGGAGACAATAGATTCCTCCCTCTCTTTCCCCTGAACCACAGGTTACTTGAAAATATCCCCAAATTCAACCAGGACCAGTTGATAATATTGCCTCAGCGCCCCCACCCCTGCACAGGTGCCCCAGGATAACCCCCAGGGACACCCCATGAGAAGCTGCTCCTGGCCCCATTCCAGTGTTAGGATAGGCCCATCCCAGGCATAAGTCTCTTCCACTGGGTCTTGACCATGAAAATGTCACCAGCCAACTAGGCATGGCCCGGGCACACAGAAAAGCCTCAGCAAGCTATGGCTGACCCAAACCATGCTCAGATGAAGGGTTCCAGGATTGACACCTGCAAGGATGGGGCCCCAGCAAGTCAGGGTGAGTCTCTTCTAATTTCCATTCCACAAAATAGTCATTCAACAAACCATTTCCAATGCCAGAACTGAGTCTAATCTGATCCTGCCTCCATAATTCATAGTAGAATAAAGACCTAGGAAACACTTAAGTAACTCACACAGAGCATCAAGGCCTAATGTCTGTGCCAAGCACAGAGGTCAGGGGAATTTTTACAGAGAAGGGAGCTTTTGAGCTGGGTCTTGAAGCATGAGGAGGAGTTTGAGCTGAGGAGGATATAAGAGTGTTACATATTAGGGGGACAACCCATGAAAAATCTCAGAGGCGTTACTGAGGGCCAGTTCAGTTTGGTGTTATTATCCATGTTTTACAGGCAAGGATGCTGAAGCTCAAGGCTTACCTTTCCAAGGTCACACAGGTATAAAGAGTCAGGTTGGACTGGAATCTGTGTCTGCTGATTTTGAATCCTGTGCCTTTTCCACTGCCTGTTATCACCTCTCCAGTGGAGTCAGTTTTTGAGGGGTTGAGTCTTACCTGTTAGGGTGGTGGTCTCTGTTGAGGCTGAAGGGAGGTCCAAGGGATGGGAGACACACAGAAGGGACTTTGACTGCAGCAGAGCCCGTGCCCCCTGAGCCCCCAAGCAGAGCCATCTCTGGGGGCAGGCAGAGCAGAGCTGGGCAGATGGCGGAGGTTCCAGAGGAAGAATGCTATATGGCCTTGTCATCTAGGATCTCCGTGGCAACAGGTACATCACAGAGGGCTTGCCACTGTGCACCTCCAGGCTCTGCCTCAGCCTGCACCAGCTTGGCTGTGGGCAGTGGGCAGGGGACCCTGGGGTGGGCCAGCCAGGCCTAGATGCTCTTCCAGGCTCTACATAGGACACCTGCCAGCCCACACCCTTCTCTTGGGCCAATCACAGAAGAAACAGGGCAAAAGCAAAGAAAGAAAAGGAGAGGGCTTGGCACAGCTGGACAGGAGAGCGCAGGGATGCTGCCAGCCCAAGGCCTCGAAGGAAGACACAACAACACCTCTACCCCAGAGCTAGGCCACCTTGATCCCCGAAAGACTGGACAGATTCAACATTCAGAGAGATGAACGCATAAGCTCTGGCTCCTGCAGAAAGACAGTAGGGACCAAGATAGGCAGGGAGGGGCCGGTTTCATCCAGCCCAGTCCTGCCAATAACAACAGAATAGCATGGAATAGGCCAGAGCCAGCTAAACTAG